TTTTCATAGATGTAAAGTGAATCGAAGAGAGAAATTAAACCTACGACCTATCATACACAAGAAATGGAAAGTTGACGGCTTTATAAATTTCCGTGTACAAAAAACACTTAAAACTGGAAACATTACCCTTGCAGTATCTGCTCGTTAATTACTGATTCAGTCTTCCGATCCCTTCTCTGAATTGGGTTTCTAAGGAATTGAAAGCAAATCTTCCACTCTAGCTTATGATGGTTGGCTTTTAAGAGATCTAACTAAACTCTGAAGGGGAAGCCAGACCTTCACCTATTTATGGAATTTTTTTTTCTTGGCAATAATCTCAGAGATGTCTCTCTCCTCTCAAACTTTCACTGGTACGGCCGCAAGGGAATCCGCTTCTGAGGGTTATGCGGTATGGAGGAAGAAAGAGAGACTTTTAAGTGTAGGTAGCTTGTAGGGCTTTGAGGAGGAGAGCAGGAAAGGAAGGGAACAAGCAAGGAAGGCTGCCTGATTTTACCTGTAGGTTAGTGGGATTGGATCTCGCGAAGAAGACCTTTACTTCGTTACTTTCGATGGAAAGGTTTTGGGGAGCAGAACTCGCTTGAATTTCATACAAATTATATTGTTGCCAGCTGCTTCATTTTTCATGTAAAGATGCAAAAGAGTAAGGAAAAGGGGGATCAATATTAAAATTTAGAAACAAGGATCAACTCACAACCTAATGATATACTAGTACAATATTAGAAAAACATTTTGTCTATTTTTGAATGTGGGAAGAAAAAAAATATAAAGAGGATACGGTGAAAAGGAGAGATGGGAAAAGATTAAGAGGAGGGGCTCTGACTCTGACTATGGGAGATCTTGGGATGAAGAATTACCTCTTATTCTTATTCTTTTTGTCTTGGGAGTTAAAATAATGAACAGAAAAAGATGATATAGGCGAGTAGTACTAGTACTAGACGTGCGTGGCCTCGATTTCTTCAGTCAAACCTTTTTAGTATTATTTTTCGTTTTCTTTCTTCCAACTTTTCCACTGCAGTTGACGGGGTGGATTAGATGGACGATGAGTGTTGCTGGATCCTCTAAAAAGGCTCTCTTTTCTTGTAGTATCTTTCTATCTCCTTTTTTGGCGTTGGGAATATCCAAGAGTTCATGCAAATTTGTCTTCTCTTTTGGCTGTATGTTCGCCGGAAAATAGAGGGGCGAGGAACGTGCATATAAAGATGATGATGAGCAGCAGTCGCTGATGTGTGTAAACTATGAAGCTACAAGGCATAGGGTGGAGAGAGAAAGTGTGTGAGTGAGTGAGAAAGAGAGGGAGAGAAGAATTAAGAAACAAAGAAATAGAGAGAGAGAAAGAGAGAGAGAGAGAGAGAGG